ACAGCACCCCAGCCATCTGGGCTGGCCCAACAAATCTCAACTTTTAGTCCCTTGAAGTGGAATTAAGAGGTTGCACACACAGCTCCAGCTCCTCCTGTCCATGCCCCAGGCTGAGAGCATTGGTGCATGCCTGGGTGGCAGCACCTCAGCTCTGGCACATTTGGGTTGAGAGCAGACATAGAAGAGGAAAACCTGCTACCAAGCACCCAAGACCTTGTGCATGCAAAAGCTTTGCACCTGAGCAAGGACATTCTGGAGTGGAGGTCAGATGGCACTCTCAAGGAGATATGAGGTGCCCACAAAAGCAGCAAACCCTGGGGCACAGTGATCATGAAATGATAGAATTCTCCATTCTAGCAGGAGGAGAGGGGTCAGCAGAACTGCCACCTTGGACTTCCAGAGGGCAGACTTTGGACTGCTCAGAAGACTGGTTGACAAAGTCCCTTGGGAAGCAATCCTGAAGGGTGAAGGACAACAAGAAAACTGAACTCTCTTCAAGAAGGAAGGAAATCCTGGAGGCACAAGAGTAGGCCATCCCATTTACCAAAAGATGAGCCGTCGGGGAAGAAAAATGGCCTGGCTGAACAAAGCTTTGGCTGGGTCTCAGGAAAAAGAGGAAAGTCTATGAGCTTTGGAAGAAAGGGCAGGCATCTCAGGAGGACAATAAGGATGTTGTGAGGTCATGCAGAGAGAAAATCAGAAGGGCTAAAGCCCAACTAGAACTTAAATTGGTCAACTCTGTGAAAGATAAAAAAGTTTCTATAAATATGTCCCTAATGCCGCCTTTGCCTCAGTCTTGAAGAGTATGGTCAGCTATTCTCTGGGTACCCAGCCCCCTGAGCCAGAAGACAGGGACAGAGATCAGAACAAAGCTCCCATAATCCAAGAGGAAATGATTAGTGACCTGCTTGGCAAATTAGGCACACACAAGTCCATGGGGCTGGACAGGGTCCAACCAAGTGTACTGAGGGAGCTGGCAGAGGTGCTCACCAAGACCCTTTCCATCATCTATCAGCAGTCCTGGATGAGTGGGGCAGTTTCCTTTCACTGGAGGTTGGCAAATGTGATGCCCATCTACAAGAAGGGCCAGAGGGAGGATCCGGGGAACTACAGGCCTGTCAGTCTGATGCTGGCACCAGGCAAGGCAAAGGAAAGGACAAGGGAAAGGCTGTGGATGGTGTCTACCTGAACTTCAGCAAAGCCTTTGACACTGTTTCCCACAGCATTCTGCTTGAGATACTGGCTGCTCATGGTTTGGACAAGTGTACTTCTTGCTGGGTAGAAAACTGGCTGGCTGGCCAAGCCCAGAGAGTTGTGGTCAACGGAGTTAAATCCAGTTCGCAGCCGGTCACAAGCGGTGTCCCTCATGACTCAGTTCTGGGGCCAGCTCTGTTTAACATCTTTATCAACGTCCTGGACGTGGGGATTTAGTGGACCCTCAGCAAGTTTGCAGATGACACTAAGCTGGGTAGAAGTGTTGATCTGCCTGAGGGTAAGAAGGCTTTGCAGGGGGACCTAGGGAGGCTGGATTGATGGGCTGCAGCCAGTTGTATGAGGTTCAACAAGGCTAAGCACCAGTTCCTGCACTTGAGTCACAACATCCCCATGCAACACTAGAGGCATGGGGATGAGTGGCTGGAAGGGTGCAGAGCAGAAAAGCTGCTGTGAAAAAAAAAAAAAAGCTGAAAAGAAGCTTGACAGAGAGGTATCTGGAGGTACTGGTCAACAGCCGACTGAATATAAGCCAGGAGTGTGCCCAGGTGGCCAACAGGGCCAACGGCATCCTGGCTTGTATCAGGAATAGTGTGGCCAGCAGGAGCAGGGCAGTGATCATGCCCCTGTACTTGGTGCTGGTGAGGCTGCCCCTCAAATGCTGGGTTCAGTGTTGGTTCCCTCACCACAGGAAAGACATTGCGTTGCTAGAGCATGTCCAGGGGAGAGCTACAAAGCTGATGAGGGGTCTGGAGCACAAGTCTTACGAGGAGAGGCTGAGGGAATTGGGGGTGTTCAGCCTGGAGAAAAGGAGGCTGGGGAGAGACCTTATGGCCCTCTACAACTACCTGAAAGGAGGCTGTAGTGAGGTGGGTGTTCGTCTCTTCTTCCAGGTAAGAAGCGATAGGAGAAGTTGGCCTTGAGTTGTTCAGGGAAGGTTTAGATAAGATCTTAGGAAAAAATTCTTCACTGAAAGTGTTATCAGGAACTGGAATGGGCTACTAGGGGAAGTGGTAGAGTCACCATCCCTGGAGGTGTTTAAAAGACATGGTGATAGGGTGGATAGAGACATGGTTAATAGTGGACAAGTATGGTTGGACCTGATGACCTTAAAGGTCTTTTCAACCACACAATTCTATAATTCTATGACTCCCCAGCTGAGGGAGGGAACATCATGACCTCAGCCTGTGTCACAGCAGGTTCCCCTGCAGCCCCAGGGACACCTGGAGGGAGCCCCGAGGGGGCAGAGCAAGTGCTGCCTTGGGCTGGTCCTCTGCTGCTGAGCTGGGCTGGGCTCCTGGGATGGAGGGAGCTGATGGCAAGTGGGCAGTGCTGCTGAGAGACAGCTCTGCCCAGGAGCAGCTCCTCTGCAAAGCACAGCAGGGCTGAGGGCACTGCCTGCAGGCACTGAGGGAGAGGAGTGAGGCAGAGAGAGGTTAAAGGCAGAGTGGGGTGGGAGGATGCTGAGAGCTCACTCTGGGATAACTCTTTGCAGCCTTCTATTGTAAGTCTCTGGCTGCAGGGCGATGCAGCTGTGTTTCCTTGAGGGGTCTTCTAAACCTGGCACTTCCCGCAGAACACAGGATCTGTAAGTACAACCCTCAGAGTTTCTCTGGTGCAGAGGATCAGAATGTGCTGCAGAGCAGGGCTTCCCTGCTGCACCATCAGATGGACAGGGCATGATGGCTGCCTTCCCCCAGGGAGGGCAGCAGGGTGTGAAGGTGGGTGTGCAGGCAGGGGTGCCCAGGGCTGTCCTTCCCAGAAGGGTCCCTGCACCCCAGGGGGCTGTGTGCTGGGGCAGGGACTCTGCCGCCTGCCAGGGTCAGCACTCAGCCTGCCCGGGGAGCTCCCCAGGGCTCTGCAGGGAGAAGGTGTGGGTGGAAGGAGTGACCCCCATCAAGGCAGGGTCCTGCTGGTGAGAGGGTGCTTCTTGGGCCAGGGTTGCTCACAGCTATACATCACCCCCAGGACATTCCCAAGGGGTTATCTCAAGGAGAAGATCAAGGCAGGGATTACTTTAAAGTTAAGGAGATTCCTGAGTCTGTCTTTCAAATTTCCAATTCCAGTGGGCTGTGAGGGCAAGGGAGAAGGACAAATGGAAAAGCAGCTCTCAAGTGTTAACAAGTCACTGAGGCTCCTGAACTGCAACTTTGAGTGGTCAGTATGTCTGGCAGAAGACTCGTAATGTGCTTTCAGCCACTCCTCTGCTTGTTTTGACTGGTCATTTTTCCAAAATGCAAACAATGACATGTATCCTTTCAGTTCCCTGCAAGCAGGCAGGTTTCTGTAGGGCCAGGGGGAGTGCACAGACATTGGGATGGGATCTGTGAGTGTGAAAAGGAAAAAGACATTGGACAGGGAAACACCTTCCAGGAGAAAATTGCCAGCAGGCAGAGGTATGATCAGGGAAACATTGTTGGAGGGAAAATTCAGAAAGCTCTCTATGATCCCCTCCAATGCCAAGCCCTTCCTCTGAGCAAGCCCCCTGGCCTCCTCTCCCAGACAGAAAAGCCTCTGCCCTCAGGGCTGGGGGCTCCAAGGTGGGAACCAGCTCCTCTGCAGCCAGAGCTCCAGCAGAGCCCTCGGGCAGCTCTCCAGCCCCGTGGCCATTTCCCTCTGCAGAGCCCAGGGGCTGAGAGCAGCTGCCCGGCAATGGTGGTGCCTGGGAGGTGGCGTGCAGAGCTGGGGCAGGGGTAATGCTGCCTGGGGGCCCCCTGCCTCTGCCCTGGCCTCTCTGAGCCAGACCTGCACTGGATTTTGCTTGTGTCTCCACTGGTCTGTGTTATTTTTGTTATAATTTCATTCTTGCTGCAAGGTTCTTTTAGGATGGCAGTTTCATCTGCTGAGTCACACACTGCTCTTGTGGGTCCCCACATGCAGGTGTGTCCATTGGAACAAGTGTTCCAGAGTGCCCAGTACCTTTGGAGTTCTGGGCATTACAGTTGGTGGGGCTGGAATATGAGCTGACTCTTACTCATTGAGATATTGTTAGGACACTTGGCTATACCACTGAAGTGTCCTTCCAAGCTGTGAGCTGCCTTCAGGGATGCAAACCTGTCCCATAGCACCTTTGTTTTATCGTAACAACCCAGGAGGAGCACAAAGCCTCTATGAGTGTGGAAATGATGTTGGTTTGGAGAAATAAGGCATGAGTGTATATAGCTAGCAGTGGGGTGCTGAGACCTTGAGAAAGTGTGACACATTTAGCAGTCTGTAGAGGGTCCCTCTCCTCTCAGCAGTGTTTGGTGGTCTTGAAAGGTAATATGGGAATGTGGTAACCCCACGTCTCAGAAACAGGGACAGACAGCTGCCCTCACTCTGCTCTTGCCTCACAGGACTCACTGTGTTGTTCCTGAGTGCAGCAGAAATGCTGAAGTTTCCCAAGGTCCAAGCATACTTGCCAGGGGAGATGGGGTGGGGACTGTAAAACAACCGAGAACTCTTGAACTCCCTTCACCATTCCCATTCCTTAGCAGTGGGGGTACGGATGCTGACAGACCCTTCTGTGTTGCGAGGGGTTCCATCTCACAAAGTTGACCAGGACCGGTCCCTGCCCCTACCCACTTCTGCAGATTAGGGATGACTTAAAAAGAGCCCATGGGCAGAGGCCCTGCTCTTCATCACACTCTTGGCCAGCGCCAACCAGTGCTGCAGCTGAAGGAAGCTCTCCTAGAAAATGAAATGGATGTCTGAATGTGACATGGGAAATGCCTGTGCTTTTGCTCAGAGAAGTCTCCCCTAACAAGTCACTGTCTTTTTCTCCTATGAGGAGCGCCCAGAGGCAGCAGATGTCCAACAGCAGCTCCATCACCCACTTCCTCCTCCTGGCCTTCGCAGACACATGGGAGATGCAGCTCTTGCACTTCTGGCTCTTCCTGGGCATCTACCTGGCTGCCCTCCTGGGAAACGGCCTCATCATTACCGTCATAGCCTGCGACCACCGCCTCCACACCCCCATGTACTTCTTCCTCCTCAACCTCTCCCTCCTTGACCTGGGATCCATCTCCACCAGTATCCCCAAAGCCATGGCCAATTCACTCTGGGACACCATCTCCTATGCTGGATGTGCCGCCCAAGTCTTTCTGGTTATCTTTTTCACGTCAGCAGAACTGTATCTAATCACCATCATGGCCTATGACCGCTACATTGCCATCTGCAAACCCCTGCACTACGGGACCCTCCTGGGCAGCAGAGCTTGTGTCCACATGGCAGCAGCTGCCTGGGGCAGTGGGTTCCTCTACGCTCTTCTGCACACGGCCAATACATTTTCCCTCCCAGTCTGTCATGACAATGCTGTGGACCAGTTCTTCTGCGAAATCCCCCAGATCCTCAAGCTCTCCTGCTCAGATGCCTACCTCAGGGAAGTTGGGCTTATTGCGTTTAGTGCCTATGTAGGCTTCGTGTGTTTTGTTTTCATTGTGGTGTCCTATGTGCAGATCTTCAGGGCCGTGCTGAGGATCCCCTCTCAGCGGGGACGGCACAAAGCCTTTTCCACATGCCTCCCTCACCTGGCTGTGGTCTCCCTGTTCGTCAGCACAGGTATGTTTGCCTACCTGAAGCCCCCCTCCATCTCCTCCCCATCCCTGGATCTGGTGGTGGCAGTGCTGTACTCAGTGGGGCCTCCAGCAGTGAACCCCCTCATCTACAGCATGAGGAGCCAGGAGCTCCAGGCTGCTGTGTGCAAACTGGTAACTCGCTGTTTTTCTGAAGCAATAAAATTCTTCCGCATAACAGTTATAATGTAAATCATTGCAGGCCCAGCCTGTCTTCTGTGATTTTTTTTTCATGGTGGCGGTTTTTTTTACTTCTGACAATGTTGTCATCCCCTTTCTAATTCATTTTCTGCCTTGCTGTCCTGACCAAGTAAATGTGTAAATGATGAGCCCTGCTCTCTGTGTGTTTAAACAAACTAAAAGGCTGTGCATCAACTTTATTTTTCCTGAGAACCTTCCTCCAATGCCTTTTAGGAGCTGCAGGGAAGTTCCTGTGTGTATGGCTGGTGGGGAAAAGAGTCCCAGCATGGCAGGACTGCCAGGGAGCACCAGCGCTTCATCTTCCAGAGTTTTCTCTTTCCAAATGTGCTGGAGTAAGGCCTGAATACTCTTGCTGCTTGGTCACAGTTGTGCTGCATGGTAGTCCTGTGGCTGTAGGCAGGGACAGGAAATTGGCAAAGAGGGGGCAGAGCTGGCCTCCATAACAGCATTTCCATAAAGAAGGATAATCTCCTCAGGGCAATGCTTGAAGGCTTAAGTCTTCCTCCAAAGCTTCTCTCAAGAACATGCCCAAGGTAACATCCCGCAGATGAAAACACCACTATACAGCAAACCAATGAGAGTGTGCAGGGTTGGGTCACACAGCAGTGTCCTCGCATAGCCAGGCCTCCTGCGAGAGACCTGAAGGACCAGCAGAGCAGGGTCTGGTCTGTGCCCATGTTTGCTGGACACCCTGGGGAAGCTGCCCCAGGGCAATCATCCTGCACTGGCCCCTCACAACCACCTTTTCATGCTCTGGCCCCTCAGCCCAGCTTGGAGAGGTTCTTTGTCCCTCCATGGAAGGACACTGAATGAGTAGGTCAGAAGTCCACATTTGCATTGTACAGATGAGATGTAAGCATGCACATCACGTACATGAGGTGAGAGGAACCCAAGTGAGCAGAAATGCCATCAGCTATTCCTTGGGGATCCATGAAGGCCTGTGGAACAGACAGTGCCTTGAGGTCACTTGATGTAACATCCCGTGGGAAAACACCTGAATGCAGCACTGGGATGTGCTTCCTTGAACCAAGGGCCCTGTGTCCATAACTCATGCCAGGGTCATCTCAGATGAGTGCAGAGTAGGGCGAAACAGCGCAAGGCTGAGGTGCCTCCAGACTCTGGGAAAGGCAGCAGGAGGCCACAGCGACACTAGAACTGCACCAGTTCACTGCCTCTGCATGTGCCAGGGAACTAATCCAATCTCTGAACACCCTTGTGTGTATGAGGATTGCACAAGTTAACCTCAGATGTGGACGCTTGACTGAACCCTGACATTTCTCTGTATGATGTCAGGAAAAAAACCCACTGGCCCAGTGAGGTTCATTTCAGATGCCTTGGACAGGCTCATTACAAGTGGTCCTGTTTGCTATGTCACCCTTGCCCATGATTCTGGATTGTGCCTTCAAAAAGGTCAGAGCAATCAGAGAGGTTCTGAGGACCTTGGAATAGGTAGGCATCAATCCCATCTTCAAGAAGGGCAGGAACAAGAATTGGGAGAATTACAGGCTGGTCAGCCTTAATCCATCCCTGGGGAGGGGATGGGACACATCCTCCTGCAGCCATTTCCAGGCACCTGAAGGACAACAAAGGGATTTCTGAACCAGAATGGGCAGAGGGAAAGAAAGGCATGCTGTGTACATGGAATTTGGCAAGGCCTTTAGCATGGTCTGCCGTGGTGTCCTTATCACCAGATTAGTGCTGTCTGGGCTGAAGAAGTGGATGTTGGGAGGGAAGTTGGCTGGGCAATCAGGCCCAAATGTCATCAGTGGTCCAAAGTCCTCTGAGCAGGCAGCTCCTAGTGGCAGCCCTTAGTGACTTGGGCCAACACTGTGGAACGTCTTTATCGTCCTCCTGTAGGGTGTGTTGGAGCACACTTCCAGCTCCTTTGTGGATGATGCAAATCTGGATGGAGGCCTTGAAAAGCCTCATCTGGTTCAGCCTGCCTTGAGCAGGAGAGTGAGGCAAGGTGACGTTAAGGGCTCTCTTCAAACCTGAGTTATTCTATGATTCAGTGAATCTTTCACTTGAAGAGGTTTATGAAGACAGAATGTATGGTGGAAATAAAAAAAAACATTTTTAAAAAAGGCAGAACAGCTATAAAATGTGTCAACAGAAATGCAGCAGTTCCTGTGAAGAATGTTTCTCCACTCAAATGACTAGTAGGAAATAGTTTTGATAAATTTGATGAAACAAGCATACTTTTCTCTGGTCAGGCCCTGGGCCGTAGGGAGCAGGATGGATGGGTATGGTATTATGAGGTCAGTTGTGTCTCAGAAACTCCCAATCCAGTAGGAAGCACATGGCTGGTAAAGGGCCTGTGAGGTCAGTTCTGTCTCTGGAGGTGATAGGCCAGCAGCAGGAACATGGTGTGGTGGTGTGCACTGTGCCCCACACCTCTCACCTGACCTGTTCCCGTAAGGCTGCTCAAGAAAGAACCACCAGTGGTGGTCGTGGTGGATGCATCCATCTCCAAGGGGATTCGGGGGAGACAGATAACAACACAATAGCCAGGGTCTGATTTATGGCATTGTGTCCACCTAACCACGGTGCTGGTCATTGTCTCATTCAAATTTAATTTGGAAGAAACCAACATCTGCAGTCGGTATGATAACATGACAACGAGTCAGCCATCTTACCCCCATCAATCGTGAGCAGCCCAAGAGCCCTCTGAGCTCTCCTGCACGGCAGCGGGCTGTATGCCAGGATCTCCCCTTCAAGCAGGGACCCCTCTCAAGGTTACTCCTTGAGGTTGAGAGATTCCTTACTGCAACAGTGACTAACAGCATGGTAAACATTGAAACCTTAGCTAAGTGATATAAAGGATTGATTTCACATACCTTTAGGTATAAACCACTGACCAAGTCTGGGACTAGGATTGGATCCAGGTGCCCTTGGACTCCCCTCTGAAGAAGGAGTTTAGAAAGCAAGGGGGTCCTTTCTGAACCTCATGACCCAATGAGAGGCTCTCCCTAACAGTTTTGTCTGACCCTGTCCTCTATGCAGTCAATAACCAAGCGTACCTTGCTATCAGAGCTTGTTAATCAACGGCTGCATTTACCATTGAACCTTGTTACCTCACTGCTTTATATCCATAAAGTATATTTTTGCTTCTCTCGCCCTCCCATCTGCGACACCATCCTTGTACCCCCCATGCAAACAGCCCATCTCTCTTTACCTCCCTGGTGCTGGTTTGGCTTCCTTTGTACCCTCATTTGGTGCTTCACTCCAGGGGCACCTGGAGAAATTCTGGAAAGTTGTCAATAGGAGCCTCATGTCACGATGTTTTAGAAGGAGAAGTGTCAAGTGCTTTTGCGGGGTAGAATAACCCCAAACCTGAGGTCAGGCTGGGACCTGAACTGCTCAGGAGTGACCCTGAGGAGAAGGGCCTGGGCGTTCCAAGGGACGGCACATGGGTGAGTGGCACATGCTCAAAGTTACTAAGGCCAACTGAACAGGGCTGCATATAGGGGAGCATGGCCACGAAAAAAGAGTAATCACCCACCTTGACTCAGTACTGGTGTGGCAACATCTGGACTCGTATGTCTTCCTGTGGGGCTACCAGGTCTGGACAAATGGGGAGGAACTGGAGAAGTTCTAGAGGAGTCCTGCAAGGATGGGTTTTGAGGCCTGTGTGGAGAAGCTGATGGACCTGGGCTGCTTTAGCCTGGTGATATGGAGGCTCACAACTTTACAGTAGTACCATGCAACTGCTAGAAGTGTGGTTTCAGAGCTGATGGATCTTTTCTCGGTAGTTGGAAAAGAGGGAAACGTCCTCAAAGTGAAGCTCACAAGGTTCATACATGAGGTGATGAATAAAAGTCTCACACAGAGGGTATCCTTGTGGTGTGAGTGGTCACCCAGAGTGAGTCTGCATCAGCCCATGGCTTTGTCTTTCAAGGAACAGCCAGCAATGGGTAGAGAGACATCAGGGAGGGTCTAGAAATGTCAGGGTGAGAAATGGTGGTAAAGCAAGATGGGTGTCTACAGCCTGAAAGGAAAGAGCTGCAGGCATGGGACAGTGTAGGACACCCAGCAGTTAAGATGGCCAAGAGGTCTGTCTAGGCTGAAAGGCCACATAAGACCAAGGTCTTTGTCCCCTTGGCTAGGACAGTTGCATCTGCCACTGAGGCCTACCAGGAGAAACTGGATCTGGAGGCTCTGCTCTTGGTTTCCTCCTCAGCCCTTCTTGGGGAGGCCAGGAGGGGTCAGAGAATTTTCCTACACTTGGCATTGCTCACCCTCACACCCCACTGCCCTCACAAAGAGCCCTGAGCCACACAGGAGGGACAGGATCTGCCTTCCCAGGGCCTGTGGATCAGGGCTTGGCCCTTCTGATTTATTAAACAAAGCAAGGCTTTTCTCACCATTACATCCACTTGAAAAGTGCCTTTGCCTCCCTGCAATCATGGCCTCCAATTATCTGCGCTAACGAGTCCCTGGGGAGGCTCTGTCAGTAAGGGCCCTCACTGGGGCCCATTACTGCTTCAAGGTACTTTGAGTTTTACTTCTGGCTTCTTGAACAGTTTTTTCAACCTCTCAGTTTCTGAGCTTCATGGACTCAGCACCAAATACACCCTGGGGCTTATTAAAATACAGAAAGCCATAATGAGCCATGTCTCTTCCTTTAATTTTCTTCAGCTCTCCAAGCCTTGTAGAGCTAATTTCATAGTGCAGTTCAAGAGGTGGATTTCAATAAGCATTTAATAAAGAAGGGGTTTTGCTTTTTAAAGGGAATTTTCCACTATGTTTCAATCTACCAAAGTAGTGATTGCAGCACTCTCCAGTAGACATTGATGCAGAGAGTTTCTTGAGGAGGTTTCAAGCAGTAGGAAAAACCATCCCTTGAGGTCTCACACTGTATAGACAACTTTGCTCCTCACCTCCCCAGCCTCACCATTTCTGTCCTTGGTCACCTGGGAAGGAATGATCTGAATGAATGAATCACTCTTCCTTGCCTCAGACTTCTCCACTGAAGCCTGCAGCTGGGTGTTACAGCTCCATTGCGCCATCTCCCCCTTGCTCTCCTTAGAGAACTGAATGCACACCGGCACAAAAGAATTTTTCCTATTTATCAGGAAATAAAATCAAGCATGACCGGTTTTATAAACAATAACACACACTCCTCAGCTGTATGCTAAGTACAAGCTGCCTCTAATGAGATCATCTTTCTGCAAGAGATAATCTTAGGAGATTTTTTTTTTTAAATTGGTAGATAAATAAAAGAGAGAGAAAAACGTAATTAAAGAATTGTCTAAGGAGACAAATAGACTACTGAAAGACAGAAAAGCTTTTAACTTCCTGAAGTTCAGAGCTTCAGCTGGCAAGCTGAGAGGAATCTGAAGGAACAAGTCATAGGGTCATAGAGTTATAGAATATCTCAAATTGGTTCAACAAGACTTTGCCTTTGTGAGCCCATGTTGACTGTGCCTGATAATTACATTGTCCTTTACATGCATTCCAGTAGCACCCAGAATCATGGAATCATGGACTATCACTGTTTCCAGAGAGCAGAGATTTTTGAGTATTGCCAGAGGAGGAGGTGGTACATCCTGAAGAGGCCCTACTGTACAATAAAATGCCAGAAAATGAGAAGCAATGTGTCCTGTTCACTGATGGGTCCTGCCGTTTGGTGGGAAAGCATCGGAGGTGGAAGGCTGCTGTACGTAGTCCTACATGACAAGTCACAGAGACTACTGAAGGAGAGGTCAGTTTGCAGAGGTGAAAGCCATCCAGCTGGCTTTAGATATTGCTGAAAGAGAAAAATGGCCAATGCTCTATCTCTATACTGACTCATGGATGGTGGCAAATGCCCTGTGGGGGTGGTTGCAGCAATGGAAGCAGAGCAACTGGCAGCGCAGAGGCAAACCCATCTGGGCTGCTGCACTGTGGCAAGATATTGCTGCCCAGGTAGAGAACTTGGTTGTAAAAGTCACGTAGATGCTCATGTACCCAAGAGTCAGGCCACTGAAGAACATCAAAACAACCAGCAGGTGGATCAGGCTGCTAAGATTGAAGTGGCTCAGGTGGATCTGGACTGGCAACATTAAGCGTGAAGTGTTTCTAGCTCGGTGGGCCCATGACACCTCAGGTCATCAAGGAAGAGATGGAACATAGAGATGGGCTCGTGATTG